AAAATGCAACTTAAAGGATTTTTGATATGAAATTATGGACCGGGAGTTCTCAGCCCGCGGGTCGCATGCTGTGTGCCTTACTGATACCAGATACACGCTTTGTGAATGCCTGCGGTATTTGTTAATACCTTTCGCTGCGAGCAACAGCACTGTTTAATAAATGAGACACGTCTTACCAGTGAGAACACTTGCAGGCGTGCGTGGTAATAGCGGTAACAATCTGAACCCGATTTTGAAAGTTTGGTCGAAAGTGCCATTGGCCTATATATCCCCAGAGACTGATTTTGTTGCAGAAGATTATTGAGTAATATGTGAACCTTGTTTGTAATAATGACAGAGTTTCTTATGTTACTAAGAAATTTGAATAATTCATCCTTTTTAACTTTGTGGCCGGCGAGTTGATAGGGGATAGTGTGACCCTGGTTTTGAAATGCTGTAGATCCTCTGCTATTGGCCTTAACATAGGCATACAATGTTTTAGGGAGCACTGAAGAAGGTTTCACAGTTGATAGTCTGTATCCTTGTCCGTCCTCAGGTTTCATCTCCTAAACTACTTTAAACGATTCCGTGATATTTGGAGTAGCGCGTCTACTCTTGAAGTTTGTGGGCATAAACCTATTGAATTTTTTGCCCGATTCGGTGAAGTGTGCCGTGTTCTTTACAGAAAGCTGAATTTGTACTTTGCCGCCTTTGCTGCCACATGAGAGCTCGTAAGGTACAGAAAGTATCCACAAAATAGGATATATTTTTCAGCGCACGATTAGTCTCATAGGCAAGTAAAACGACATTAGGATTCCAGCGTATGGTAAAGGAAGGCCTGTGGGCGGCCATGTTTGCTGTTACCACAAGAGAACAAAGAAAAGTCAGAGAAACGAGATATGTTCCTGAGAAATTAACAGACAACAGACACTTTGTGGTTTCGTCCGTGTTTACTTGCATCGGATGCGTTTTTATTTGTGCTTGTGTAGAACGGATTTTGGCTAAATTTACAGAATTTGTTACTGATTTTTGGGAAGATTTCTGTTAAATATTAAACGTACAAACTAAGGAAGGTAATGACCTACATAGGATATCCCGTTGAACACTTAATGGCTTTCATTCGATAAACTAGTCTACTCGGTGCCAGACATGTTTTCCCAGAGGTGAAATCGTAGAGAATGCATGGTAACTCGAATGCTCCGAAATTGAGGTCAGCTTTCCACCCTTGGTAAGTTATTCACTAATCATCTATTGGAAACAAGTCATAAATAATGAAAGGTGTGTGTTGCAGTTTTTGAACAAAACAAGTACCAGTGCGAGGGTCTGTGTTTCTATTTCGAACTGATCGACTGAAGAAGGAGGACAAAATATTTTTGTGTAATCAAGCATGTATTTTTCCTGGAACAGTTTTTTTTCTTCAAAAAAACCCCCTAACATGGTACAATTACAGATCTGAACTTTATGATGGCTATTGGCCATTGCAAGAGTATGGAAAGAAGCATCTTAGGCATAGTGGGGGAAGTTGGACAATTAGCTGTAGTGTCGGAAGCCAGAGGAGAGTTGGTGGCACCTACAGATCTGGCGGAAACTATCATTCTTTAATTAACATAATATAACACACGCTGCCATTACACATGATATTTACCGTTCCATTAGATTTTTATGTAAATTATTTCAGACGTATTCATTAAGTCTGTACATTGTAAATGAAGTATATTAAGAATTGCTGTTTTATGGTTACTAGTATAATATCGAAATGCGACCTGCTTCTGTGGCAGCTGTCAGAAAACTGAAAGGTACACGCCCAAGTGTTAGGTTTCTGGGAATAGACTTGACCATTTTACGGTGCAGCTGAAACCCAAGGGCCACAATAAAGTAACATATGTAATAGTGTCTGATCTAATTTGAATACAGAAGAGAAACAAGGGCTTTAGAAAGAGCAGTAATTGCCAGATATCTACCAATATCCTTTCATTTACAATACCTGTAGACGTACAAGTGATCGGGAGGATGGTTGTCTGGTAGACCAATTAAAAGCGGTGGTGTCAATCATCCACAGAACTTCAAAATGTTGTAGCGTAGCTGTGATCACTGTTTATCGCCTTGACGAATTCTTTTGTTTCAAATGATGTAGAATAATGCGATATAATGGTTCTTTACCTGTGTCGTCTCATTTTCGGGGCATTGCTGAACGTTTCTAAATTAATTATTTTGGATTGTTGATGTGCCACTTTAAATGCTTACGTTTGAAATTAATTTGGAGTACCGAGTCTTTCTAGTTATTTAAATGAAATTGTAATACAATTTAGAAGGTGTAGAGTAACGGACGAGGGCTGTGGGAACCCCGGTTTATTGAGGGTAGTTTCTGCTAAATAAAAACAGTGGTACAACGTATATTTTGGGTGAAAAGTAAGGCCGGCAGCTTGTCCCCTAAGAATATTATTGCTTGAACCCCTCAAAATGTGCACCTTGCGCCTCTCATACCCTTCGCATTTGTGTGATCTTGCCCTTTGACTGTTCTCATACTCCATACCATGTTGTGGTAGCTCAGGAAACAGCTGCATGGAACGGCCAATGGGAGTTCTGCTCTCATGTGAATCCCTTTGCGCGCGTTCGTTTGTAAGGCGGCGTGCTATTGGTCGGAATCTGGCGCGCCCAGTTGTCATTGATATATCGGCTTCCAGTGCATCCCAGCTTGCGTGTTGCAGGCTTGGCAATGCAGCTCCCCGTAGACCTAATGTTCGGGTGTCCGTTGTTCATTTTACCGTCATGTAAAAATGTCCTTATTCGTGTTAGGCTGTTTTCGACAGTTCATCGTAACTGAGTTGGTGGCCTTCTCGAGTCCATAAAGTGGAACGCTTTGAGCTGTATTTCACGACGTACGTTGACCTTAAAAGAAGTGCATTAGTCATTAGAATCATGATGATACTTTATTGCAGTTAGTAATCTGTCCGTTTGAAATATCACCCTTGGTTTTGCTGTGTTGGCGTTGAACAACCTGTGGCATTTTCCCTGAGATGAAACATATTTTAAATGCTTGTACTATGAAGCTACTAGCCGACGTTTTCTTGATAGTTAAATAAGTGTCTGGACTCCGCATTCGATAGAAAATACGTTTCATTTTAAAATGAAGAGAAGTCCCAAACACTTTAAGAAGTCACTGATCCAAACAAGCATTTTATGCACGAAAAGTCAGTGTTAAATTTTCTTCTCACGAACCATTTGAAACCAGATTTTCTGAGAGCACCATATGCCACCATCTTTGCTTCAAATGCTACGTTCTGCATTTAGAACGCCGCCATATATACATATATGTTAGAAATGTGTTCAGTTTCTGATCTATCTTAAAGCCTCAGTGTTTCGGCACAGACGTGCAGTAACATTTATTTTTAGCATGTCGTAATGTTGTGTAAATTGTGGCAAGGCCTACAGTATTTCGTAGTATAGATTTTTAACGCCCGAAAATTTTCAGTCATGAATTTTTGGCTTCCTCCCATGTTGGTGCAGCATATATTGCCTGTAGACTCTTTATAACCTGTTACCATGCCATTTGCAAGGTTTAAACGCCTTTCATTGGTCACGTCTGATACTGTGTTGTTCGTGAGGCCAGGAAACATAATTTGGAAAGAACGTAAATTTTCTGGTGCCCCATTGAATTACTACTACTCTGAAGATGAAGGCAGTATGTTTCTGACCGAAACTGCTTTCACTATACCGGGCTGATTCCTGGCTGTGTGTAAACCATCCTAGTGGATGTGTACTGTTTGACTCAGCATTAAGGCCGCACATAGACTAACTACATCGAACGAAACAATTAAAAGAATTTTTCGCTCTGCGAAGCGTGCCATGACGAACGCTTGTAGACGAAGTCGAACAAAAGGGGTCTGGTGTTTTAGTTTTATGTCGCTGCACATGACAGTGCTTCTTATTATAATTTATACACTTAGATCTATTCTCAAACCCACTAAATTGAAATCGTTATCGAAATATTCGGTCGGTGTATATTAGCAACATTGTGTTTCGATAGATTGTTTTCTTTCTAGTAAGACATGCGTATCTTTTCTGTCCACCCATTCGTTCTCTGGTCTACTGTAATCACGATCGAGTCTGGTCCTGAACACAGGATTGGGTGGACCGTGGACTGCATCCTAGTACAGAACGTAGTTGATCATAGTTTGGTACTTTTAGTTCGTTCATTGCCAACTGGAGTTTTACGTCAGTGTGGTTCGCCTGTCAATGAGAATTGATAATTAGGAATTGATCACGTTTCCGCCTGTCATTGTCATAGAAGCGAAATCATTTGAAGAATGTGTGCAGTAGGTTGTAATTGTGTAATAATTACGAAATGTTTCAGGATTTCTTTAGCTTAGTCACAGCTATTTTGTGCGTTTATTAATCCAATGGAATTACGTTGAATTTCAACCATTAATATATAAATACGGGCGGTGGGTGACTTTGATCACATCTAATAGCAAGCATAAAAATATCAGTTCTTAGTATACGGCTTACACACAGTACGTATTGGTGTAATGAAAATATTTTAAATATAAATAGCCTAATTTAGTTAGATTATGAAGTATTCATGAAACCGGTAGAATTTCTCCGTATTGCATGTGTTGCGATAATGAATGGCTAATATATTCCGTTAGATCTGTAGCTACTCTGCCTCTCCTCTTGCTACTGACATCACAGCTTGTCTTATCGCCTATCCCATTCCGTCCCCAAGGTTATGGGTCATGAGCCAAGGGTCATCACAAAGCAACACCAGTAAGAGACCACATGAGTCGATAATACTATAAATTGTGTTAATAAATGGTTTATGAGAGTTTTGGTTGGATTAAACTGGCCCAGGTTAGTGTCCTGTGGCGAACTATTTTGAAGACGGTTATGAATTGTGTTTTGCGAAGTATTTTTGTATTAGCAGGAACTGAACAGGAGGAATTGACACTTGCCGGAAATTTGCAGGTGTTATAAAGGGTTAAGTTTGAAGGCCCTCTGTGATTTTGTCTTTTTAATCGCAGGTTTCAACTTCCTGGGATCATCCTTGGTTGTGGAGCCATCGGTGGCCGGCGGAGCCAAGAAAAGGTAAGTTCTGTATATTTCTGTGTATTTATCGTAAGGTGTACGGGAAGTGATTTTTGTCTACCATTTGTAATCTTTGGAGGATTCTTGAATCATATAATGCTCATATAATAGTACGAAAAGGAGGTGTGTGGTGATAGGACGAATAAATGAAAAGATCGGGAAAGAATTACGGGAGAGAGGAGGGGTGGAAATGAAGGAAAGGGTTAAATGAATTGGACGAGGGATTAAGGTATAAAGTGTTGGTCGGAAATCCTGAAGGGAAGATACGAATTAGAAGACCTAGGCATAGATGGAAGGATATTAAATTGGAACTATGACGAGATTATGTGGTCCGGATTTATTTGGCTGGGGAATGGACTGGTGTTGTACTCTTGTATGGTCCGTTAGATTTCGTAAAACTTGGACTATTTTGTGTGTGGCTGATCTTCCCAGAGGACTTACTGCTCCACGCAGTTAGCAAATTTTTATGCTGCCGTTATGTATTTAAGGGCCGATAAAGATGGGTTTCTGGGAATGCTATTTGTGTTTACAGGATTCATTCATCAGTTTCATTACCGGTGAAGGTATCACTTTCCCCTGGCAGGTCAGGCTGCTCCGCAGTACCTCCGTTTCTCGTGATGGGCCACGCATTGCCATATTAAACGATTTGAGACTTTCACGGCGAGTACAATTTCATTTCCATATTGTTCTGTCGCGCTGTGCATTCTTGTCCATTACCTGGGGCTGTAGAGGAACCTGGAAAGGGGTGGCCATAGTGAGTTTTAACAGTTTGAATCAGGCATTTTAATTTTTTATTTGTTGATGCTTAAATTCTTTTAAAGATGCAGTTTTTTTTAACTCGTAAAATTGCACCTCGTGAGGGCATTTTGAAACGTGTTTATTGTATCTTGTTCCAGTAGTGACTTTTGAAACAAATGTCCGGAATGTTGTTTAAGATACGGAATTTTGCATAAATATGAGATTTATCTCCAGCCTAATTAAAACCGCCAAGCCGAACTTCGTGACTTTGTCGACCTTTCTGGAATTAATTTCTTGTCGGAAGCAGCAGTGAATCGAGCGAGTCGGAGTTTGTGTCCGCATCTGCTGGGCAGCGAGCGCACTGCTGTAGAGGTTGCTTGAGGTCATGCTTTTGCACCTGACACAGTAGTGGGATGGGGTGCGGGCGTGAGTCTTCTATGTTATTATTTATGTTCATATCGCGAGTGCAGTAGAAACTGGGAATCTGAACGTCTCTAAGCCGCGTCACAAACGTTGGCATTCCACAACAGTGCCGTTCTCATTTTATGATATAGATATTTTTGCTGAATTTTACTGGCCCTATAAAAGTTTTGTCTTCTTTTGCATGAGTCTTGTGTCTCTCGGATTTTCCGGAGACCTATCGTAGAAGTCACGCTTAAGAAAAATTATGGTTATCTTGTGGGTTGTTGCAAGCACCTCTTAAACAAGGATAACATGGTTATGAAGGGATATTGTTCTTTTATTGTTGCAAGAACCTCTGAAACGTCGATACACCTTTACCACTACCCAGAAGGCAGCCATATCCTCTACTCGCCGCCGTAAGAACCTAAAGTCTAAAAGGGCTCTGAAAGTTTTGTGTCTCGTAGTCCTGAAAACACGAACATACACATTTTTTGTGTGGCCTAAATATATATCATTCATGAAGACCGCTCATAATATTAATTATTTTGCTAAAATGTGCGCCTGGCGTACTTTATTGGACTACACGCTACACATCGGTGTTGGAGATGATGCCGATCTGCAACGGCGAGAGGCTGTATGAGTTGTTTCCACAACTCGTAGTGGTTCTTGTTGCTGCAACCAGCATTTGCAGTAAACGTCTCTGTGCACAGAACACCACCACTACCACATAGCAGAGACACCGGAAAAAGGTTGAATAACCGTGCAGGCTACAGATTTAACCAAGCCAAAAGAAGTACGCGCAGCGTGACAATTCTGCCGCGTTCGCCACAATTTGACCTTCGTGTATGGCTCCCGTGACTTTAGAGTTGTCTGTGGTCAGCCACCTTTGGCAGCCACGCAGTAATTTCTGCGCTTCGCCGGTAGCCCCCAATTCTGTTCTTCCTCTCGGATGAAAGTATGGGGTTTCGAGAAATGACCTTTCTTTACAGATTTACAAAACTTGAAAAAAGAGTTCGGCAGTGGTTCTTCAATCGTCGGGTGGAAACGAGACCGAATTTAATTAGTCTGTGTTTATTTACTTTTTGGTCTAGCCATTTGATTACATTTTGTCTTTGTGGGGGGGGGGTCTAAACAGTATGGCGAAATTTCTGTTTTGGTTCATATTGGTGCAGCTTGACCCCTAATTTGCGTGCTCAAACCAAATTTCGTCTGTATTATCATAAACGGGCCATCGTAGCATTTTCATCTGTTGGAAGAGTGCATGGCGTAAACATATACTTATTACACACGGGTTTACCTGTAATTGATTTTACACAAGTATCAGTCGTAAGACATAAAAGTAAAATAAGTTTATGTATTGAATTTGCATCGTCGACTTTTAGTTTTTTCAAGATCATTAAGTTTAAACAGAAACATGTAGTGCGAAACAGTCATATAGTGCAGATCCCATCTCTGTTCGATCTCCTTGTAATGACAAATAGCCCATTTCATTTCGTTTTATAGTTTTGTTTAAAGTTTTTGAAAGGAGCGTGCTAAATAAATAATGAGTTTAGAAATGTAATTACAAGCAGAGTGCCTTGCCGTTTAGCCTGTATTCACCATTACTGAAGGAAATCATGGGACATAGGTCACTATTCTTGTACGGTGCTGGGCTGCAGTGGGTTTTATGGTGACCACGTGCATATTGACTGGAGCCAGATGTAATTAACTTTTGTGAGGGATGTATTTACGCGTATGTTTTACGGGCGTCGAACTGGTGTCTTAATTGTTTTTGTTTCCTTTCGGCTTTTTTCTGTTCTCCATTTGGTTTTCTTCCATTACAGGGGGCGGGGCGCTGGTACGGCTGATTTCGGTGTTCGGGTGATCACTTTGACAATTAAGAGAACAGTAAGGAACAAGGCGCCAAACTAATGGAAATTTGAAAGTTTCTGACTTTGCGTTAATTTGTTTAAAATTGTTATTTTGCTTTGTCCAATGTGTAAAGTATAAAATTACGACGTTTCGGGAGCTAGATTTTCCTTTCGTCATGGGGGGGGGGATCAGAAAACCCGTCTGTTGGGACCCAGGTTTTGCTAGCCTCAGACTTTGACCATGTCGACTGGCATCAGCACTCGTTAGTTTGCTCCAAGTTTGTGCAGGACATCCTCGTAGACACCCTTCCCTGGCTGCGGCAAATCATGAGGATGTTTATTGGCATCAATATTTTTCGCTGTGCTATACTGTTCTGCTTATTTATTTGGAATTCTCTTCAACCTTCCTGGCAGCCTTAAAATTCATACATGACATTTTTTAAAGGTTGTTATTGTGGGGGTGAAATGTAAAATATGGAAATGTAGGTACTCCATCCTCGTTAAACTCGTTCAGACATTTCTGCCCGACGTTTTATCCGTCTCTTTTAATAATTTCTATATTGTCGCTCTTCGTATGTCAGTTCATATATTATATAACTGGTTTACATTCGGACGCCATTTTATTTTAAGACTGCGCTGTAACAAGATGGCGTTCAGGATTTCTGGAATCCTGTTTACATTATGTGGTTACAGTGGTATTGTGCGTGGTGGGAAATCGGTGTATGGCTTTTGATTCTGCGGAAGTAATTTGTGTTTCCGATGTTGAATGAAAATTCATCACCATTCAATGGCTGGTACATCTCAATATCTTGAGGTACGTAGGGATACCAGTCGAAGGCCATTTTTTAGATTTGTATTGTGATGGATTTGGCATGAAAGCGAAACACGGGGTTGCAGTATCTCTTTCTTTACGTCGGTTCGCAACTGGAAATCAAGTTAACATTTATGTAATCGTAGATTTTAATAACATAACCCGCCTTCCTAGATTCCTCCAGATACAGGCTGTAGAATCCAACTTTGTTCGCGTGTTTGCCAGGGGCTCGAAACTGAACACAGGATATTTTGCTACAGTTTGTGTTGAAGTGAGGCGACAATCTTGCCAGATCACGAAGCACTTATGAGAGCGTCTTTAAACAATATGGTACCGTCAGAAATACGACTTGTTCACTAAGATCCCGATGTTTTTGCAGACGGTCTGGGGGCGCCCTCCCGGACTCTCCATTGGAGCATGTCGGCAATGGTTGGAGGTAAGCCTCCCCCGTACTTTGATTTGTATTTAACAATCTGCTTGTTCTGTAAGTAGCTAACAAATTTGATCGCTTGGCTGTGTTGAGCTAACACCGCACGCTTTTTATTTGGTGTTTATTTTTTTTAGTAACTGTGATGCTGTCAGTATCTTTGTGAAATATCTGTCTTACGTTCCGACGCAACCGCAGCCATCGTCAATATTTTATAAAAAATATTGTTACTAATTATTTGTAATACGTCACTTCTTTTAGTCCTAATGTGGGCAAATGAGGATAGCGAAGTAGAGGGTAAAATGGCGTGAAGGTGTTGTGTTGACTAATTTGTGTGTTCGCTCTTTGCTTCGTATTGGGAGTGTCTCGGGTTCAAATCCTATCCGCAGATCGGCTATCCAGACCTGTTTTTCGTTGTTTTCTCCAGGCGTATTCCGTGACTGGACCGAGCCCACTACGCTCCCTTTCAAATTTGACAGTCTGAGTTAATGAGAACATATTTAAATAAACGACATGTCGCTTAGACCTAAGAATTCTGTAAATTTTGTGATTGGGAGACGTCTGCCGATATATGACGCCCACTTCTTAAAGAACGATTGATTTTTGTTCTCCCTAACGCTAAGAGACGCGTACGTTTGTTTGAATCTGAATCATAGTGACCTCTGGTACTGCATACTGACAGGAGCTCCGAGTTCTTTACCCGCGAAGAATAATTTTTTGGTTTTACTCTGATGATAAACCCAAATAACGGGGCAGACAAAAAAGTGGCTCTGGCCGGTCCGCAGTTCCATTAATTGAATTGAACGTGGTCAATTCCTTTGTAATTTTTGTTAAATCGGCGTAGGTTACGTCGCATTCCATCATAATATGGAAGTTAGCTACGTACACACAAACCTGTATCTGGGGGTGACAGCTGTAATGAATAAAACAGGAAACAAGTCGCGACACAATTATAAGAAAAAATGTGATCACTAACGACCACGGGGTTTAATTTTTTCAAATTTATTTTAATGTTCGTTCGTTCTCATTAAAACTGTGCGTATTGTAGTTTTAGTAGATAAGTGGTAAATTTAGGCAATGCGTTGCTAGAACCTTTGTAAACTTTCTTCCACAGTTGGTTGGGCTAGGTTAGACATATTCAGGTAAAGCAGGATGAGATGGGGAGGGGGAACAGAAGATACTATTTAGGGAGACCTAGAAGTAGAAGAAATGATATTAAACTGGGTCTGAAAGAAATAGAATGCGAGGTTTTGTGCTGGATTCATCAGGCTGGGGGTAGTGACAAGTGGCGGGTTTTTGTCACCTTGGTTATTGGTTATCGGGACCTTGGTTATTCAATAAAAGGCGGGAAAATCTTGGATACCCCTGTTAATCAGGCTAATGTTGACGTCGTTATTCCATGGTCATTATGCCTATGTGTAGAAGACAGTCTTCCATCCAGACAGCCCTTGATAGTGCATTTAGCCAATTATCAGAACCTGCTTGAGGTGAAGGTGAGTGTTTGACTGCAAGTACAAAGAAAGCTAATAACAATATAATACAATTTCCTTTAATTTGTGCGTGTTTAGAAGCAACAGTCAGGACTTAAGATTTTGTTTCTGAGCTAACCTGTAATTGTTATGTGTGACGTGAAATTCTTCTTTCTTCTGTTCTCGTCATATAATTTTCGTATTGAAGGAAATGCGCTTTTATGTCATGTAATTTGTAGCACGAAGAATTGTGATGATGCTTTGTAACTCACGATGATATTTATTGCAAGACTTGAGGTTCTCACAGCGGTGAGTATGAAGATTTCTGTCTTCTGGGTTGTTGCGATTCGTCGCCCTGATGACGGAGGCAGTATGACCTCTGAAACGTTGGTTAACATCGACCAGACTACACAGCGCAATAACCCAGAAGACAGAAATCTTCATATTTATTGCAGTTATATGTGAAAGGGGGTTTGCTACGACTCCAAAAATGGCCGCTTCTATGTTGATTTTTTTTTTCCTATGATAAACTTTGCTGCAGGTCTCACAATCCCCAAGCAACCTAGAGTCCTAATAGTGCACAAAGCCACTCATCTTCTTGACTAGTTCATGAGTAGACTACACGCACATCTGACGACTATAGTTGGTTGGGTTTGTTGGAAGTTCCTTACGTC